ATTAATCCATGTCACAATCAGAGCAAGAGGGATTGATTCAGTGAGGATTTGATCTCTCCAACTTGGCCCTTGCCTGAACGGGCAGTGGTTTAACTACATCATCCACTCCTGGTTTTCTTCTCTACTTATTTCACTGAACTGGCTAACGTGTAGAGATGATGGGTACAGCATACCCAGTATATGAGTTACTTTTTGTATTTCGGTAGCCAGACACCCGAACAAGAAACAACTTAAAATAGAAAGAACTCTCACTTGAGGGGATCCAGCTCATCTGGACTGGGAAGGCAGGGAGGCCATATTGTGTCCACCATCAGGAAGCATAGAGAGTGACTATCAGTGTTTATATGGCCTCCTCTTTATACCTGCCACTATTTAGTTTGGGCTCCCAGACCATGGGACAGTGACATCCACATTTAAGGTGAGTGTTCCTTTTATGGGGACACTCTCATAGATACCTACTGCTGTGTCTCAGGAGCAATTTTAAATCCAATGAGTTGAAAATAAACATCCTACCTAGAAATATGCTCAGCAGTGTTAGGATGAAGCAATCAACAGCCATCATTATTGTGTGTGCCACTGTTGTACTAGTCCTGGTTCAACTTCTGTGCCATTCCACACCCCCAGCCTCCTTATGACGGGTTACCCTGGACAGCAAAGCCACTGCCACCCCATTGTGTGCTACAAAGCTGTGAGGGTGAATGAGAATGAGTAAGCCAGTGCTTGATGACTGACAGCAAGACAAAGTTTCAACCTGGTCCAGTAGCCTAGAGCCCTAACTGCAAGACAATAATGTGTACAAACTGAAGACTGGAAGCATCTGTTAGTTATCTCCTGGTTGTTAAGGAGAAACTTGTGAGCTCCGTGCTTATCAAATAGAATCAGCTGGCACCAGTGCCTGTTATATTATACCTAAAATTGTAAGCTTGGGACTTGGCTCGAAATACATCATGGAGTTATGTAAACAACGCCATCAGCTGCTTTCCATATTTATATGAGAAAAATAAGTGACATGCTCTGATCCCATGTGAAAGGAGGAGCTGTGTGCCTGGGTTTAGTGCATCCTTTTGGGTCTCCTCCTCAGTTTTCCAGCACAGCACCTCGCTGTTGAACTTCTTACACCTTTGTGGTCCACGTGGCCCTTTCCCTCCAGATACAACTGATGCTCCAAGCAGAGTATCTTTATAACTTCTGCTGACCTTTTCATCAAGAACAGACATCATCTATACAGCCCAGATTCTTATGGCCTTGCATTGGGTGACTGACAGAATTTTCCTTTGTGTTTGTTCTCACAATTCTCATTTTCTTTCAGTTTCAGTCTGTGGAGAGCACTACAACCCAGCAGACTTTTATGAAGGGCCTTTGGTACTTATCCCCAACAGTCTAGTGATGTCACACATCAATGAAGAACTCGGAAATCTTCAGTGACTTCTTATTGCCAAGAATGCTATACATTCAGTATGTCCCATCATGTAGCTTTAATAAAAAAATCCCTTTGATCTGGGTGATGGTGGCACACGCCTTTAATCCCAGCACTCGGGAGGCAGAGGCAGGTGGATCTCTATGAGTTCCAGGCCAGCCTGGTCTACAAGACTACACAGAGAAACAGTCTCGAGAAACAAACAAACAAACAAACAAACATCAGTTTGATATTTTTCAATCTTTAACATGCTCTTAGCAAAGAAATGTCACTTTTCTTTAAATGAATCTTTTTATCTTCCAAGTGTATAATTTTCATAGTACCTTCACTCCCTGGAAGGTGTAATATTTTGCTTTACATGTGGTTTTGAAGAGAGAGGCCACTTAGCCATCCAGAGTTCAAATTACCTCAACCCAAGTATCAAGTGATTGTTTGAGGCAGTTTCTGCTGTATTCTAGGTAGGTCTTGAATTTGCTGTGTAGCCGAGACTGCCCAGCGACACTTGAAAATGGAAGGATTTTCACTCCCCCAGCTTCTCTTTGAGTAAACATTTAGGGAGTATAATATACAACCACAGTGTTATTAGTGGGACTACGAGAGCATGCGCTTATTGGAGGTGGCAGTGACAGAACAGTTCTCACTAGTCTATGACAGATCAAGTCCTCCTGCTTATGTTCTATGGGGGAAAGGGCAATCTTTACAGCCACCAAGCAAGGAAATAAATTAAAAATCCCAGCATCACCTCAAGCTCTGAATGGGCAGTAAGGAAGTTTTCCTCTGACTGTGATATCTGAAGAGACTTCGGTTAATGATGAGAGCCAAGGACAAGAAGCTCAGAGAAGACAGGGCAGCTGCCAGTGCCATTGAGCTGCAGGAGAAGGTGGTGTGGAGGTCTGGGAGCACACAGCAAACGGTGGCTAGAAGGTGGTGGGCAGAGAAGGACAGAGTGAGAAGAGGTGGCAAAGGACACCCTTGAGGTCCAAGGAAGCCAACACAGCCGTGAGTGCTCCGCTCAAGGGCCTTATGCCAGGAATAACATTACCTAACTTACAAAGGAAAATGGTCTCTCTGGCCACTTGGCAGGAAGTTGTTCAGGGTCAAGAGTGAAAGCAAGATGAATTGGAAGATGATGTGAGATAACAGTACCTGGGCAGAGGGATACGGGGAGGGAGGGCGGAGGGACCCATCCACGGTCTCCATCCCATTAAGCAGACAGAGTGCTTTGAACACAGCAATGCTTGGTGTATGTGCCTTGACATATGTTCACGACTTCAAACCAGCTTTGATTCTAGAGTTTCTATACTTTTTTCCCCTCCTGCTTTTATTCACATATTGTGTCTTACTATGGTGCTTTGATATTTGGAAAAACGGAGAGGGGGGATTTCATTTTTAGGAAAAAATACTGTTGATGCTATAAATAATGTAAAGCCACCAAATAAAGAATACAAATCACAGTAGAGTGTAGAGAGGAAATTATGCGAAGAAATAAATCATTTGAAACAAATGAACAAATATAGAAGTCTAAATCTGTGATAAAGCAAAATGGATGTCTATATTATTTTAGACAAAACAAAATAATAGTGTTTAAGAAAGTGAGAGAGTAAGTAAGTAAGAGATTCTCAATGAACATTAGCTAAATTACTATGCCTATGCGTAAGACATGGCAGGAAGTTTTCATTATAATTGAAGACTTTTCCAGTTTTGATTTTCTTTTCTCTGAAAGTATGGGCTATTCCTTTGCTCCTTTTCAAATGATATATTTTCTGATTTGTAAGCTAATCATATGACTACGAAGGAATGCTCACACAATTCTAGAACTCTAGAAATGCCCCGTGTGAGCTTCAGGTAGAGCTCCTAAGAGGGGATGACTCAAGCCCAGGTTCCCATTGTCTCTGCACGGGCCTTCCAGGACACTTAGCACGCTTCAAGAAAACAAGACCAACTCTTGCCACTTTCCACCCCAAACACCGAATGGCCCCTGAACTGTGTGAAACTTGGCCCCAGCCAGTGTGAAAACTGGCGGAAATCTGTATGATAGGCTGTCTGGGTTTGTCAAAGCAGTTCGTGAACTTTGGCCAAACTTTCTGGGCTTCTGGTCCAAGACTTAGTTTGTAATGCAATGTGAAACCACGTGCATTTCAGATGGTGTCGGGTTTCACCTTGGAAATCTGGCCTAGCTTTCTAGTCAATCATCACTTTTAGTAACGATGAAAGCCAACACACCTTTCTGGGAAAGAAGACGGAGCACTGACTGATGACAGCTAGGCTGTGAACCGCCCCTGCACTTCCTCTGCCAAAGGAACACTTCACAGAATGGGGACTTTCCCTTTTACCTGGAGAGCCCAAGTTGGGGGACTGTGATACTGGGTGTAGAAAGACATGATACTCAACACAGGGAGACCAGCCGTGTGAAATATCACCACCCACAGATCAAGGGGCTCTCATTTTCTCACTTAAGGATATGGGTTCCATTTCATTCCCACCCATGACAGTTAGATATCATGATATTCCATCTCCTGAACCACGGATGTTCTTTTAGCTTGGAGGCAGTCATCAACTAGGATAACTTTGTCTGGAGAAACCTGCCTGCTGGGAGACATCACTGTTTCAACACTAAGTTAGCTGAAGAATAGGAAGGAAAGCAAACCCAACCACCTTTACCCAGCTTTAAGGAACATGAAGTAAAACGAAGGCACAAACCTTTTCCATCTGCATCAACTATGTATTTTGAAAAAAAATTCTGTAGTATTCATAAATTCAATAATTAAGTAAATACAGTATATTTTACAGAGAGACCTCCTTAGTTTCTACTTTCAACCTAGATATTTTAAATGTATGTTTCCGCCGTAAAAAAAAATTCTCTCTTCAACCAAATACTCGCTTTTGTGCGTAGTGACATGAGAAAATTGAGAGGTATGTCTGAACAGAGCCACTACATCATTGGAACAGTATGTCTGAACATTTGAGTAATGAGGCCCAGATGTGAACCCAAGCACTTGGCACTACCAAGGCAACAACAAAGTATTTGACATTGGTTATGATGGTCGAAGGGGCCACATCGGAGCAGAGAACAAACAGCTCTCTGCCCACCGTACTAAATTATGTTACACCTTTTATCTGCCTTAACAAATCTGGGAAAACAAAAAAATCCAAACAAGTGTTATTCAAACTTACAAGGAAGAATAAATATGTAAAATACAATAAAAATTTTATCTATGCTAGAACATATTTATGCAATAGCACGAGAAGTTTCATCAGAGGGAAATGCCAAATTCAAGAGAGTACCACATGGCCTTTAGGTTGCAAAACAACGTGTGCACGTCTAGAGACCCCAACAGTCACTGGATAGGTAGTTGTTGGATGGCTTCAGTAGGTTCATTAGTTGTTGAATTTTCTGTTTATAATTGAGCTATGATGATGCACAAAATACACATACTCATTAGTAAGATATTTCTTGCTTACGGGTGGTTTGTCAATATTTACAGCTGTTACTAAATCATGCAGTACACAAAGGGGAAGGATAGTTAGGATGCTTTGAGTTGGAAAATAATTTCCCACCCAGGACAACAAGTGCTTAACTTACCCGAGGCCCTTGATCACCTTGTTCTCCCTGTAGAGGAGCAAAATAAGAATAAAGTTACAATCCATACATGATACATAATACAAAGGTCTAAACACACGATATAGGTTTCCAGTAAGTTCATTAATGCATTTTCTTACCTTATCACCTTTTGGACCAGGGGGACCCTAGGAAGAAAAAGAAAAAAGAAAATATTAGCTTTAAAAGGACTTGAATGAGCCTACTATGTCAATTGAGAGATTTATGGGAAATGTAAAGAGTTATAGTTGTCAACAGGTTTCTCAAAGAACTTTAGTTTCTAAATTCTAATTGTAACATAATTAGAAAAAGAAAATAGTAGTATATACATACATACACCTATAATACCTGTGCTCAACTTCAGTATGTTCAGGATCATCTCTAATGCTTGCTATTTACCTTTTTATCTTACTTGTTCTTGTAGGGTATAGTAATTTAACTTTAAAGGTCCCTAGCAATATATTAAACACCCTTTTAATATACCTATTCAATATTTTACATTGTTTTTTATAAAGAATTATCAGTTTCTGCCTTTGTTTCACTAAATTATCCTATCAATCTATTATAACTTATTATATACTATATGCCACATATATGCATATATAGAGATTTAAAAATCTTTATATATTCTGAATTTTTGCCACCTATATTTACTAGAATATATTTTCCCATGCTCTGTTCTGCTTTTACATTCTGTTGAAATGTTCTCTGCTGTTTGTTTAGGTGGTGGCAGTACTGGGGCTTGAACTCAGGTTCAGCTGGGCATTGAGAATCTATGCAAATGCTCTATTATTGAGATATATCTGAAGTCCCTATTGGGGCATCTTCAATGAACAGATAGTGCTAATTCTGATAAAAGTCAACATAACATTTTTCTCTTTATTGTTATGCTTGCAGTCAACTAAAGAAATCTACAGCTATTGCACATCATGAGGAAGCCCGTCTGTTTATTCTACCAGTGAAAAGGTTTATTATTGCATCTTTCATATTTGAGTGTGACTTCATTGAGAACTGATTTTACGGGAGGTGAAGTCAGGATGTTTCTTGTCCCCAGGTGGTTATCAAGTTAACCGAACACTGTTAACTGAAAATGGCATCTTTTCCCCATCGTGGTACTGTGTTACCTTCCTCATAAATCAGGTGACCATATGTGTACATAACGTTTCCTTGTAGGAATTTCTTCTTGGTGAGAGCCTATTCTTCTAGTAAGAAATTTCTAGAGGCATTAATTATGCTGTCTACTCTAATTCTTGATAATGAAGTCATATTTTGTGGTTCAGCATGGCCCAAGGAATTAGAATGTCTGTCTCATAATTATCTCCACCATCTCCATTTGTAGTGGGGCCAGGACGTAAGAACAAGCCTGGGCAGGAAGTAAGGGGGAAGGGCCTATCAGAAGAGGCTACACCATTGCTGGTAGAAACATGAGACTCCTGCTCCCACCCAAATGGCACTTTCTGCTAAGTGTCAGTCACAGAGGAGCAGTGCTGAAGCCCCACTCTCTTCACAGTTATCTTTGTGTTCAACTTAAGAAGTCTCCAGCATTCCCACATCACGAAGAGATTCGTTTGCTTATTCTAAGGCAACAGCTTTATCACTGTCTGTTTCATATTTGCATCCAAATTCACTGGAACTGATTTTATATACCATGTGGCTATCTTTGTTGTGTAGGTAACATGCCTTTTTGGTAAGATCTGTGAGGTTAGATCCTGAAACCAACAGCAACATCATGTCTTGTATTTTGCATATTTCCTCATCAACAAGGAACTGTGAGTTGTTGTTACATCTAATCTTCCCTCCAACGCAATAAAGAATTATGATAATCTTTTTAGAGAGGCCAACAATGAAACTCAGATCTTTCCTATGTGAGGCCTCTTAGAAATGAGCTGTCCAGGATTTTAATTCATTCTGCATGACTTTAAATACCAAGACCATGGAGCACAGACATGGAACTAGTTTCTCAGAATCACCCACATGTCTGGTGCCTGCCTTCAACACGTGACTTCTAAAACGGCCCCTGCTGTATGTCCCACTGTCACAGATACCAGCACTAAGGCTGTGGGTTCTACATGAGGAAAAAGGAAAGACAAGGCCAGAGTGCCCTGTATAGGATGCTTAATTCATGAGCATATGAAAATCTGCACCAAAAATTGACGGGCAAGTAAAGTGGTATTTTCTGAGCAGACGTCATGGCATCCTGAACCTGCCAAGCTCAAGACAGCAACAAAGCCAAGGTCACCCGCTATGCATAGCTGTGGTGGCTGCTTGGGACATCCCCCTCCAAAGCCCTGTGATCCAGGGTGACAGAGGGTGCTTTCTTCTATGGGACTGAATGCCTGCTCTTCTTTCTGAATTGGGTCTCTTCACTGAAAAGATGGGTTCAATCAGATGAACCAAGTGAGCTCTGCCAGAGAACAGTGTTTCTAACTGCAGGGGCCATGCTGCTTTTCCAAGTTAAAGTATCACAGCACAAGGAGATTCTAACCTTTAAAGTTCAGATTGGGTCATGAGCTGTTTTGTTCTACCTTTATAATTGGTTTTAAAGACCCTCATTATTACTAACTCAAATATAAGCAGCAATATAAATTAACGGCTCGCATCATTTCATTTATGAGGATTTGTAATGTGTATGCACCACACGTGTGCCTGGTGCCCACATTATAGACAGTTGTGATGTGCATGTGGGTGCTGGGAACTGAACCTGGGTCCTCTGAAACAGCAGCCAATGAGCTTAACCACTGAGCTATCTCTTTATCCTTGAGAGTATTTGTAAATAGCATTTTTCTGTTGCAATTATACTGTTTTTGACAAAATACTATTTAGTGCAGTGGCAATGACTGTAAGATAACTAAGCCAAAGTCACCTTTGCTGCTATGAAAAGCCAAGGCCAATGTAAAAGAAATGTGTAGGACTAGCTGTGGGTCACAGCTTTGTCTAAGGCTTTTGGGGACATGTCAGTCACCTGTCTAGAATGTCACATATGCCCACTCATAAATAAAACTATCATTTCTAAATATTTTTGTATAAGCAGCCTTAGTTACATAAACACTGAAAGATGTTAATAAAGTTTGTATCTGTCACTACACTCAGGTGGGAATACTCTTTAGTACATTGGTTCTCAACATTCCTAACACTGCAACCCTTTAATGCAGTTCCTCATGTTCTGGTGACCACAACTATAAAATTAGTAAGTTGTTACTTCATAACTGTAATTTTTCTAATGTTATGAATAGTAATGTGAATAACTGATATGCAGGATATTTGATATGCAATCCCCAAAGGGGTCATGGCCCACAGGTTGAGAACTGCTGCTTAAGAGCATTGTTAGAATGTAACTGATTTATACCAAAATATCAGTAACAGTCAATGGCCTGCATGGCAAAGTAGCCCCTGTTCACATAGCTTTAAAATCATAATTTACAGTCACTGCCTTTCTCTTTGTCTCAGCTCCTTGACATGGGCCTTGGCTTATAACTGATTTTAGTAATCCCAAGCCTAGTTTTACCCAAATAATGCAAGTTTTAGTGTTTCTTATTGTCTGCTTCTATAACAAACAAACCAAAAGCAAAGAGAGGCCAATGGGAGAAGCTATCTGATGACATTTCAATTTACGAAGTGAATGAGACATGGCTCAAAGAGAAAAGAGTGTGTCATGGGGCCCTTTATTTGAGTGAATTGCAAACTCTACTTACTTTGAAATGGAAACAGTCTAAAAATCATGAAAACAAAATTAAATTCTGTTGGAGGGGCATGGAGCATGTCTTAGGACTCCTAGGAAGACAGTCACCCCAGAAGAGGGGGCTGGCGACCTCTGCACCTGAACATCATAGGTAAGTTGATTTTTCAGTCTTGTGAGGTAACATGACTCTGATTAACCTTTTCATTACTGTAGAATTATGGGAACAAACAGGCTCCATCCCCTAAGTATTTATTGTGTCAGCTGGTCAGTTCTCTCTCCATCTGGGGGTGGGCATGTTAGTATGACTTACACTCGGTAGGGAGGACTTACACTTGTGTTGCAGAACTATGGAAAGAGAGAGGGAAGGAGAGCTAGAGTTGAAAGGGAGAGCTGCAATTGGCCCTGTGAAGTTGGCTGGAGATAAAGGGGGAGACAAGGCGTGTGAGGGGGCTCTGACAGAAGGAAAGAACACGTGTAAGGGTGAGAGAACGCTATGCTATCACAGAAAGATGGAGTTCATGGGAGAAGAGCAGATGTGGAGTTGGGAGTGGAAATGGGGACTAGCAGGAAAAGAGGAGCTGCAGAAGGCTGGCTAGCCACACTCTGGTGTCTGGGCCAGATCCTGTCATCAGTTTCAGCGTGGTAAGACGGGGTGTGTCTGCTCTGAGGGACTCCCAGGGTGTGCGGTGTTAGAGGTTCTTAGAGAGTCGTTGTCTTGGTCCCAGTGAGTGGTGAGGAAGTTTTGAAATAAAGCGAGGTTACAAGGAAAGGGCTAGATCTGGGAGACATTTCTTGAACTGTAAACTTCACTTACTTTGCCCCAACAGGAGTAGATGACTGGCTGGACACGAGGACTCCTGAGTGACTCTCAATATGGGTAAAGACTGGCTGGACACGAGGACTCCTGAGTGACTCTCAAACCGGGTGGAGAGCTGTTCCAAGGCCAAGTGAACCAGACACAGTACAAATGGATTTGGGGCTGCGTTTTAAATCTACAGTGTTGACTGCTACAGCTGGCCTGATTGGAAATGGCAGTATGGAAGAGGCACAGAGAAAAAAGAAAGAGAGGGAAAGATGGGAAGGGGAGAGGAGGGAAGGGGAGAGGGAAGGAAGATATGAGAGGAGGGGAGAGGAAGGAAGAGGAGGGCAGTGGAGGATATGAGAGGGGAAAGGAGGGGAAAGTGGAGATAGTTTGCTTATCACTACTAATTAGAAGGTCCACACCTGAATCCATAATAGTGGTCATGGTGTGACAATCTCTGTGCAGTGCCCATTCTGTGATCTTCAGCATATGGTAGCCTGGTAGTCACACTATGCCATGATCAAAATGTCACCCATCTTGTATGTTAATTTCTGGATACAGTATATCTTCATTACATTTCCCTTCCTGTACTTCTTAAGATACAAACTGCATATGGAATCCTGTGCTGTAAATGCCTGCTGCCCTGGTCTTTGAAGGAGAAGATGCCA